GGGGGGGGGGTATAATCCAGTGTGCCTTAGAAATAACAAGAAGCGCCTTTGTGTCTGCCTGCCCTGCCCCGCCCTGCCCTGCCGCGCCCTGCCCTGATGTGAGAAGGCTGGTTGATAGCAGGTGATGTAGAGCAAGTCCTCTAGGACCCAGGAAAATAAGCACTTTTTCAGGGACCTTAAATGAGGAGCAGCAAGGTGCCAAGGCTCATGGTGTCCCTGGGCCCTCAGGGTTGGGACAAGCAGATGACATCTTTTTCGTTCCAAAGCAGGGCACCCAGCTTTTTCCCATTTTTGCCTTTGACCCAGGAAGACACTTGTTCCTGGGTTTGGCTGGTTGGTTTGGTTTGGTTTTTTATTTGTTTGTAGGCTGCCTCATATATTAAAAAATATTCTGAAAATTAGTTGAATAGGAGAATATATATAATATATGTAACCTTGGTACAAAGTATCACCATGAGAAGTATGACGTTTCAATCTAAGTGGTTTCAGCAGTTAGACTTGGACAGGGAGAAAAGTATTCCTTTTGTTTTGCAACATCTTATTTCTGAGGCATAAGTAAGTGGATGTAGAACGTTTCTGTGGCAGAGGCATGCTCACGGCTTGCTGGACAGAAATGCTGGTACTGTTTGCCCTGGTGTGTAGGTAGGCACAGTCACGTTTCCCAGGCTTTTTTTGTCTTTGTAGTTTCACAGTCCCTTGCTCTACAGGGGGAAATGGAAGAGAGAAAGTGACTACCAAAGATATTTAACATCTAGCTGGGCTCAGAATTGAACAGGTTGTTAGCTGAGCCCTGATGTCCTGTGCAGAGCTGGACCCATAGGTGGCTTAAAGCCATCAACTCTATGTCCACACTTGACTCCAAATACTTATGTTTTAGATATCCCACATTGTCTTGTTCTTTGATACTTCTGAAGAAATTGCTCAAAGCACAGGCTCTGAAGGCGTGGACTCAAATTTTAACTTTTCTGTATAGCTGCTTTGTGACAGAAGCCCAGTGCTAAGACTTCCCCACACTGTCTGCTCATCTGAAAAATGAGAGTAATCATATTAGTCTGTCTCATTGGGGTGAGGTTCAAACAGGATTATGCATGGAGACGGTTCAGGTACACAGCGATATTTAATAAGTGGAGGTTCGGTAGAGTTCTATAGTCTTAGCCCCACAGGTACTCACGGGAAGAGTGAGAGGTTAAGGGAGGAGGGAGAGTAGAGGAGTGTGTATGGAGTGTGTCTGGTCTCCTGGGATTAGAACCCCAACTTACAGTTTACACTGACAGAGAACTAGCAGTTCTCATGTGTTATAACCTCTCATGTGTTATGGGCACCATCAGGACTCACCTTGTGTGAGACACACTCCTTCCTTGCCTCGTATGATGTCCCAAGCCACTTACACAACACATGCTCCCTGGTATATTTGGAGGTGAAAAGAAGAAAATGATAGTTGGGTAATGACAATCTTGCTTGTCTGTAATCTTTCCAAATTTATTTTCAAAGTAGCACACAGTTTTTGTATCACTTGCCCTTAGAGTGAAAATTATTGTCTACATTTCTTTAAGGCATCTTTACCTTGTATTAGATGTAAGTGGGACTCATTAGCCTGAGTCACTTAGTTTCAGGGCATATTTCCATGGCAGGTATGTTCTTTAGGCTTTGGAACATTGACCTGTGAGAAAGAATAACCTTCACATAGTTTACTGTATTTCATTTGAAGAGTTACTACGTCTTCTTATGTCCTTGCCATTCTTTCAGCTGCTTCCCCAAATATGTCATTGATCAAATCCCAGGATATTCTACACCATCATCATCATCATCTTTCCCATCTCCCTCCTTCTTCCTCTTCTCTCTTCTCCTTCTTCCTTCTTCTTGCAAGTTTAGATATATAGATACTCACTCAGAAATATAAAGTAAAACTTGAAAGCATCCTTCTTAGTTTATTTTAGGTATTCCAGAGAAGCTGGGCTCAAAGACTAACATTCTAAACGGGGCTCTGGTGTATGTGATTGAATTCACCTAACATGTTCCCTCACTGTTGGCATCTGAGATTCTGACATGAACTCATTCACACTTGGGGCTTGCATATTCATTAGGGCTGCATTTTTCCTCCTCACAGTATGTAGCTGAAGTGCTACCCTATGTCTGTAATCACAGGATTTGGTAAGTTGAGGCAGGAAGATTTGCATGAGTAACAGGCCATCCTGAGTTTCATAGACCTTCCAAAAACAAAAACAGAACCAGCAGGATGGCTTAGTGAGTACATGCACGGGCTGCCAAACCTGGCCTGGTGTGCGCTCAGGGACCCACATGGCAGTAGAGAATGTTCTGATTATCACACTCAGGTTGTGGCACTTACAATAAATAAAAAGGAGTTTTCTCCATTTTGCTGCTTGCTCTGCTACCAGTGGCTGGTACCAGGGACTAGTGAGAGTAATATTGGTAACTCTCCTTTGAGCTATTTTGCTAGCAGTTCCCATCTGTTCATAATGAACACACATGGCAATAACCCTTTTCTCATGTATGCCCTCCTCACATACACTGTGCTGCTTCTGTGTACCAGTTATTTTTCTCCTACTCTCACTTAATTCAGTGGAGTCAGGGGAGGTGTGTTTCTCATCTCTTACTACTGATGACTTTTTAATTATTAGGACTAGAGGCCTTCCTAGGGGGTTATTTACTCTTTGCTTTGGACAGAGTTCTTACCCTGATCTCTTCCCTTACGATAGTTTTTTGTTAGCCTCTATTGTCATTGCTCAACCATTTTTTTCTTAAGTTTCTTTCTTCTATCTACTTAAATTCTTACATCCTATATTAGTTACTTTCCCTGTATTGTTTCAGAGGTTGATCTCATCTGTAGTACTCCGGGATCCTTCATCCCTAATCCTTGCTCCTTCATAAGGTTGCCACCTCAGCTCCTGAAGGAGGACACAAGGCATCTCACAGTGAAGTATCCCAAACCGTGCTTCTTTGTGTCTCATCTGCTCTCCAGTAGATTCATTAATAACGACTAATTGGTGCCACTGAATCAACAGATTGCAGGCATACTCCATACTGTCCTGTTTTAGAATAGTTAGCTCAGAACTTCGTTAGGCTGGTGGAAGTATTCAGGGAAGTCCCGGTTAACTCCAGTTTAGGGCCTGAAGAATAGTGATGGAGGAGCAGGAAAGGAACAGATGAGGAACAGTGAACAGAACCATTAAAGGTTATAAAGATGCCAGATCTTTCCAAATTGAACTATAAAGTCAAGCTCTCCAGCAGCAACACCAACTGATGTCATGATGAAGATAAGCAGACAATTCATGTGGAATAGCAAAGGGTCAAAAGTGGCCAGATGCTTCCAAAGACTAGGAAAGAGATTTAGGGAATTCATCTGACAGTACACCAAGTTTTACTGCAGAAGTAGTGTCAGGTTGCCACAGAAATGGCTTAAATCAGTGCTACCCGAAACTAAAGATGTCTGCTAAGCACATGAATGATTTAGGTGAGAAGACTTTTTTTTTTTTAAGTAAGTAATAAGGGAATAAGTAACTAGAATGAATAGAAATTTTCTATTTGGAAAACATAGAAGAGAGAAAGGCTTTTTCCTGAGGCTGGTAAAAGATGTTCTATGGTGATAAGAAGTGTGAGATTCGCGTTCACATCTGTAACATTTGCAGGAATGGGGCCCACGGTTCCAGATCTCTAAGTAGTTACATGCATGTTACAGTCACTGCTGGAGAACAGTTAACACTTCACAGATGTGAACATCCGCAGAGTGAGCAAGGCCAGAACTCCTAGCATTTCAGCCATGTCTTATGTTTGGTCATGGCAATATAATTGGGTTAGTAACAGAAATAACTGAAGTTCTGTCCCTGGGAGAATAGTTTTATAAGATACCATGGTGCAATGAAATTGAGTGGACTACAGCCACACTTGGCAATATAGATGAATCACAGAAAATAGGGGCAGAGCAAGCCTCTTGACTCTACTTAATAGCATGGTACTGTTTTCATTGAGTTCCAAAAGTGAACGAGATCAAAGAATGTATATGGTAGCTACTTGTGTGATAAAATCTTAAAAGGTCACAGAAATCCCAAAATTAAGTTTAGTGATCAATAGCCTTAGGGGGCGGGGGATTAAAAGGAGCCAGAGAAGAGCACACAAGTGAATTATGAATAGCTGCTTTAGTTTTTGGGTGGGAGTGTTATAGCTGTTTACTACATACAACATTTTTGTACATTTTAAATATGCTATATTTAATGTATTTTAACCAATAAAGATAAAGTGAAATGGTATCCTCAGATCTGGTATGATGACTTCATATGCAATGATGTATATATCAAACATACTTTAGGAAGAACATTCTAGCCAGAAGAGCAGGGATGAAGGCAGCTGGGCAAGAGGAATGCATTTATGCACTAACATCTCTCAGAGCCTAGCTGTTGGTGGATGAGGGTGGTACCATATGCTGAGAGATGAGGGGAGGAGAGGTGAGTTTTGGAAAGATGGGATGTGATTAGACTGAACTGCAGCTTTGGAACTTAATCCACCTGTTGTGTGTATATTGTCTAACATAGTGCTTGCTGCTCAGTAAAGGTCTGCAGGTCCTCTGATTCCATTTGTACTTTGAAGTCCTCAAATGTATTTTCAAATGTATCTTTTTCTTCAGCCCTTGCTTTTAAGTATGACAGTAGTCGTCACCCTTTGTCATCGGAGGATATGTTCTGTGACCCATGGATACATGTACTGTTTTGTGTGCTTGTGTTCTTTAGTACACATTCCCACTTTTAATGTCTTTCCATCTTAATTATTTACTGTGGCTGTCACTTCTGGTGTTTGAGGCACAATAGCAAAACTAGTATGAATCTCCATTGCTTTCTTGGCAGCTTTAGAGACAGGTTTGTTCTTATCTTAGACCTCAGCATATAATATTTTGTTCTTAGGTTGATGATTTTGGTTTTTTTTTCTTGAAAAAAATTAGTGCAGCTTTTATTTGATGCACCTGAATTGCTTG